CATCGACTGCCGCCCTTCTACGCAGTGACGCACTACGCAGAATAATAGTGTAGTCTGATATAAAATTATCTAATGTATTAAAAAACTTCTCTTCCAACTTTTTATAGTTTTAATTAGTGTATAAATTTGAGTAAAAACAAAAATTCTGCATAAAACGCTCTTGATTTTTTAGCAAAATTTTAACTGGCCTTCAAAATTTGCCGCCCCTAAAAATTTGCCGCCCTGGGCCCGGGCCCATGCCTAAATCCGGCCCTGGTCACACTACCGGGCACATTGTGGGCAAATTTTAAGAAAAAATCGGGCACATTTTGTGGGCAAACTATGGACACTTTTTGGTACAACTTTCATCACCACTTTGGTCTCATTTTCCACACTTAGTGGTCTTAAAGTGGACTATGTGTCTTTAAAATGGGTCGTGTCCAAAATCATGTTTCGACGCTGTGTCGACACATTGTCCAAAATGTGTCATTCTTTGCTGCTTGGGAATTATATACCTACACCATAATTTTAAAACATTCACGATTAAAAAGTGAAATGGCGATAGTTTTAAATTGAAGTTATTATTATTTTTAATATAAATTTTTTGCCAAGTTGGTATTGTAACATATTTCCTAGGTTCTGAAATGATCTATAAAATACTATTATTTCGAAAAAAAAATCAGTTACTGTGGGATAGTAATTAAAACTTACTCTGTCTCTGGTAAACACAAAAAAATACAAAACATGTTTGCAAAAAATTATAGGTAGGCAACCAAAATTACAATTTAAAAATTCAATAGGTAGGCAACAACAGTAAAAAACCGATGGTATAATTATTTTTGAGTAGGTAGGTATTAAAAATAATATACAAACATAGGATCTAAATCTTTTTTTATTAAATAATCATACATGCTTGTTTTCAAAAATATTAAATAAAAACATATTAAACCATTAACAACAATTGAGGAGTGATTTTTCAAAAGGTCGTATTTTCATTTGCAACAATTTTTCAAAAAAATGACTATAACCTGTATAGATTAGGGCAATATAGATTATATAGACCTGCTGTCATATTTCGCCGTTAATTTACCTATGCCTTTTAACCATACCTTTGGGATTTTGTCAAAAAATTACATTCAAGTAAAAATGGAAATAAGCTAGGCCTTTTGAAAAATCACTCCTCAATTGTTAAGTGTAGGTATACCTAAACCTATAGGTATCACATTTTTGACTTGTATTATACCTATTTAATAACCATTGTTTTACACTCAGCTATTTATTTAAAGAAACATTTTAATACAAATTGTGTTACACAATAATATATAAATAATACATACTATAAAACAAAATATTCAACAAGGAATGCACAATATTGAAAACATTTTTGACCTAAATACCTTCAAAATTTATATAAATTGATAGGAGAAAATAATAAAATAAATCAACGATATAGATAATAACAACACAACTACAATAACTAAAACTCTTAATTAAGATTTATCCCAAAAAAATAAATAACTCTGCTTCATCACCCTGATCACCACACTCATCTTTCTCTTTGACGTCATTGTGTGAGGAATTTTATTTATTTTTTCAAAAATTCCTCACACAATGAAGACAAAGTAAAAGAGGATAATTAACTATGTATTTTATTATCTTCAACTATAAAACCTGTAGGAAAAAAATTGGCTTTCATGGCTTCAAACTCACCTTTTTTTTTGTCTTCATTGTGTGGGAATTTTACAAAATTCCTCACACAATGAAGACAAACAAAATGGTGATAATCATTATCAACTAACTATAAAACATACAAGTCATGTACATTTCTGGGGCCTGTAGGAGAAAATAACTCACCCTATTCATCTAGGTACATCATCCTGATATTCCACTTCGATTTTCACCTTTTAGAGTCTTCAATTTGAACATTCCTCACACAATGAATACTAACAAAAAGGTTAAGTAAAAAAAAAACACGCCCGGATTCATCTGCACCATCATTAAATAAGATGGTGCAGATGAATCAGGGAGACTTTTTTTTATAAAAATTGTTCCACTACATCTTCACTGTAATCTTCACATTCATGATGCACAGTGATGAATAAAGTGACAATTCTGATCATGGAGATTTAGTTTTATCACCGTGATCAAAATTGTCACTGTCTTCATCACTATCGTTGATTCTTAGATCTATAGGGGTAGGTAGGTATGTATAAATACATTTTAAATATAATATTTGTAGCACAGGTTTTATCGGTTAATATTTGGAAAAATGGCCGCCAGAAATTTATTGTTGCACACTACACTACCATATACTTTTCTTCAAAATGTTCTATAAAACTCGATCTAAATAAATTACCTAAGAACTTTAGAAAGTTTAATATTATGCTTAAGGTACTTACAGACTGCAGATCAAATAACAAAATGGCCTTCAGATTGAGGGCGTCGAAAATATATACCTTGGCAACAGTGTCCAAAACACGTATCAAAAAAAGATATTACATGTCAATAAAGGAAACTGTAATTCTGTATAGGTACTACAGAATTTCACCAGTGCCAAAAATACGTATAATTATCAATATATAGGTATAATAAATACATACTGTATAAATCATTTCTAGCATTAAACACGAAAAAAACAAGAACAAAATTAATTAATAAAAAACAACAAAAATAATCGACATTTTCTTTGCTAAAGTTTTTTAATTCGTTGCCTATCAATAAAGAAAACTGTAACCACTACAGAATGCTGACACCATAGACAAAAATACGTATAATTACGTATCAATAAAGAAAACTGTAATTACTACAGTACCTGTGTAGAGTCCTTCCTTTGTTTACACAAAGACCGTTGAGTGAAGAAATTCTTTAGTCAATGCAAAGACCACAATCCATGTGGATTGTGGCAAAGACAAAATAATAAAAAATCTAGATACGTCTTAGAAGAGATACGTACACGGCCAATATATATATATATATATATATATATCAATTAAAATTATACAAACAATAATTTACGTATGGTTTATAACATATATGTTTCTATATGTTTCTATAGAAAATATATAAATTAAGAATCAAATTATACTGGCTTCTTATATACAAAAAGATTAAAAAATTACGCATTTTACGTAAAAATACGTAGTTTTTGCATTTAACTTAAGAAAAACTATGCTGAACTGGGACAAGAAAAGAATACTCGTGCGTGTACCTGATAAATAAAGTCTGATAAACACTTTTTGTGCTCATTTTTTTTGAAAAAATGGCATAGATCTGGAAGTTCTTATTATTTATATAGATTTTCACCTGTCAAATTTATTTAAGGATATTTCTTGTCACTTTTACAACCAAAAGCATAACAAACCACCATTGTATTTTAATATTGAAACTGCATCTTTAATTCCTTCCCAAGCAAAATCACACCAATATGTCATATGAGCCGAGTATAACACTTAAAACTATACGGTTATGGAAACATAATAAAGAAAATAAACATAAACATAATCTTGTTTTGTCATTTTTTTATTTGATTAAATACAAAAAAGGATATATTAATCCCTAAATCACAAAGCGTTATTTTTTTACATATATCTATAGATATAACTATATATATATATATAACCCTACAGGGTATTATATTAGCGTGGGCCCATCCGGGTTGCCGAAAATTATTCTTAATTGCACAAAATACAAAAAAGTATTGTTAATTGTACAAAAAACATTGTTAATTTTACAAAATACAAAAAATATTGTTAATTGCACAAAATAAAAAATATTGTTAATTTTAAGAAAATACTGTTAATTCTACTTTTTTAATTTTACAAAAAAATTGTTCAAAATACAAAAAATATTAATAATTGTACAATAAATATCGTTAATTGCACAAAATACAAAAAGTATTGTCAATTGTAAAAAAAGGTCTATTACAAGTAGGTACAAAATACAACAAAAAATGTTAATTGCACAAAATACAAAAAGTTAATTGTACAAAAATTATTCTTATTGTAGAACATTGTTAATTACACAAAATAAAAATACTGTTAATTGCAAATACAAAAAAATTGTTAATTGCACAAAATACAAAAGAATTGTTAATTGTACAAAATACATAATATATTTATAATTGCACAAAATACAAAAAGTATTAATTGTACAAGAATTATTCTAATTGTATAATAAAATACACAAAATAAAAAAAATTGTTAATTGTAAAAAATACTGTTAATTGTATTTTTTATAATGTTATTTTTACAAAAATATTGTTAATTATTTAAAAAACAAAAAATTGTTAATTGCAAAAAATAAAAAATACTGTTAATTGTACTGTTAATATACTGTTAATTGTACTTTTTATAATTTTACAACAAAAAAATTTCAAAATACAAAAAATATTAATAATTTTACAATAAATATCGTTAATTGCACAAAATACACAAAAATTTTGTTAATTGTAAGTACAAAAAATATTGATAATTGAACAAAATACAAAAATGTTGCTAATTGTACAAAAAACCATTGCTACTTAAACAAAAAATATTCTGTAAAACATTAGTAAATTGCAAAAAAAACAAAAAACATTGCTAATTAAAAATATTCTTAACAGCACAAAAAATATTGATAATTGAACAAAAAATATTGTTAATTGTACAAAATACAAAAAATTGTAAGTCAAGTTATTACCACCAGTTCTGAACCATAGTGTTATAAAACCCGTTTCATGGTTATTTTTTTGAATTGGTCTTGTAACTTTATTTAAATCGCAACTTAAAAATATGGTATAGATTTTGAAATTTTAAGACTTTTATTACATTCTATTTTAAAGCTTGATCAAACAGATTTTTGCTATGGCGCATATGAATAGTCAGAGTCCTAACGAGAAATACCTGATCAAACAAACCTATTATTATTTACCTGCACTTCACTTCAATACACAATCCATTTTTAGATGTGTGGTAGTATCACACATCTAAAAACGGTCGTTATGGAAAAAATAAAGGGAATAAAAAGAGTGAAACAAAACATAATCTTCTTTTAATTTTTTTTATTCGTTTAAATACAAAAAAAGATATATTAATACCTAAATCATAAAGCATAATTTTTTAGTTATAAGTCATATAGCGCGGGGTTGCCGAGAATTTGGCGTAAGACTTGATGACTTTGTTAACGGCTTCCAAAAAGTCTTTTTCAGTTGCCACCTTCCTTCTTGCTCTTATAGCAAACATGCCAGCTTCAGTACAGACGGACCTAAAAAAAATTGTAAAATTCGTTGCGTCGCTTTTAAAAAATGCTCACCTGATTTCCGCGCCGGTAGAGTTGGGGCACAGTCTTGCCAACAGTTCGAACCGAATGTCCCTCTCCACGGACATAGATCTGGCGTGGATTTTGAAAATATGCGAGCGCCCCTCCAAGTCTGGAAGCCCAAATTCAACCTGCAACAAAAAGCTCAACGTTTCTTCTTCCTGGAAAGTTCGCGGGACTCACCTTACGATCCAGACGTCCGGGACGCATGAGGGCGGGGTCCAATGTGTCCGGTCTGTTGGTGGCCATGAGCACTTTGATGTTGCCGCGAGGGTCGAAACCGTCCAGCTGGTTGATGAGCTCCAACATGGTACGTTGGACCTCGTTGTCGCCGCCGGCACCGTCGTCGAATCTGGCACCTGGATGATAATAAATGCAAAAAACAAAATATAATGCGGGATTTGTATTAAAGTATTCTTAAATGTAGAAAATATATTTTTAATTGTACAAAATACAAAACATATTGTTAATTATTAAAATAGATCTTGGGGGCCAACCCAGCAAATCCATCCATATTGTTAATTGTACAAAAATTACTGTTGATTGTACATAATACAAAAAATATTCTTAATTGTACAAAACATTGTTAATTTCACAAAATACAAAAAATATTGTTAAATGTACAAAATATATTATTAATGTACAAAATAAAAAAATTATTGTTAATTATCCAAAAAATATTGTCAGTTGTACAAAAAATGTTGTTAATTGTACAAACTGTGGGGACTGGATTTCCCACTCTTGTCTGTCAGTACAATTTAAGTGATTTTTATAATAATTTTTATTTATTTTATTTTTATTGCTATGTATTTCGAATTATTATTAGTCAGTAATTATGTTTAAACTTTTCAGGTAGTAGGTTGTAAATAGTGTATTGCAGAGAGCGTGTGTTTGTTACCTGGAGCCTTGTAAAACATTGGAGTTTCCTGTCATCGGTAAACATCCTTTACGATTGCTTACTTACCTCTCCGGTTTCTTTACCGAAAGTAATTTATTTAATTTTATTTTTATTACCCTTTTATAGATGCGCTTTGATTTTTCCAAATGTTTCCTACCTATCCCCTACCACGATTAGGGGTGGGTGGCCAAAGGGCTCTTGGAAAATGCCGTGGTCTATCACGAGACACAACGTACTGACTGCCCGTTTTGAGTACATCGGCTCCGGGTGACAACACATTTAAATTATAATTCTGTTTGTGTATATATGTGTATTGTATTGTATATTGTGTATATGTAGTGTAATAAAGTTAAGTTTGTAAATACCTCGCCGTCGATCAATTTGCACACAACTACCCGCACCAAAGCAGTCGCTAAAGTGGTGACCCCGACGTGATCTGTAAGTTTTTTTTATGTATTCGCAAAATTTTTTGTAAACTTAGTGACAATAATTGTGTTAAGTGGTGGACGACACGGGTAGTTTGTCGGTAGTGCGCGCGTGATTGTAGACCGATTAACAGCCGTTATAATAGTGTAGGTATAGACATTAAGCAAGTGTCAAGATGACCAACGTCGATCAAATGAAAGAAACCGCCACGAGCACGCTCACAATATCGAAACAACCACGTTTCCCGGAGTTCAATGCAGCCGATCCGGAATTATGGTTCTCGATTGCGGAGAGGTATTTTGAAGCGTTAGGTCTAAACGACAGCCGTAAACAATACCTGAGTGTGTTATCGGCCATACCAACACGTTACGCTAACGAGGTGCGCGATATCCTAATGCAACCATTAGGCGAGGAACCGTACAAAAATTTGAAGGAGAACCTCGTAAAACGGTTGAGTTCATCTCAGGACGAAAAGACGCGCGAGTTACTTGAAAACGTAGTAATGGGAGACGAGAAGCCATCGCAGTTTCTTCGTCGACTACAAGCTCTCGCAGGGACAGCAATACCGGACAACTTGCTGAGAACATTGTGGATGCGTGGCTTGCCGGAAAAGATAAAGCCTACGATGGTTACCGTGCAGGACAAGTCCATCACCGATATGGCTGAAGTTGCGGATACGGTATACGGGTTATTGCCACCACGCTCGACCGTCGCAGAGACATCAAAACCGCCATCAGCAGTAATGGCCGACGTGCAACAAGCAGTGCACGTGCAACAGCTTCGGTTCGAAATGGCCGAGATTAAAAAGCTACTCGGTGAAATTTACGAAGGTTCAAACTCCCGAGGAAGGTCTCGAACCCCTTACCGCGGACGCTCACAAAGCCGGTCCCGCTCCAGGTCAGAATCGCGCGGCCCGCGTCCAACTGGCATGTGTTGGTATCACTGGAATTTTGCAGAGAACGCACAGAAATGTACCAAGCCATGTAGTTGGACTCCGGAAAACGAGAGGGGCAGTCGTTAATGGCGGCCAACGACACCAGCCCGACAACATCTCGCCGTCTTTTTGTACGCGATCGCGAATCAAATGTCCGATTTTTAGTAGACACTGGTGCCGATCTGTGCGTATTCCCGCGTAAGTTTTATCGGGGGCCGTGTAGAAGGTCCAGCTACGAGCTTTCCGCAGCCAACGGTACACGCATCGCGACTTACGGCGTAACGACGCTCACCCTCAATCTGGGGCTGAGGCGGGACTTTTCATGGAACTTTTTAATCGCTGACGTTTCCAAGCCCATCATTGGAGCCGATTTTTTGTCGCACTATGGACTACTTCCCGATTTAAGAAGCGGGCGACTACTGGACTCCGTTACCAGGCTCGCTCTGCAAGGAGAGGTGACTGAGTGTGAAGCTCCCAGCATCAGGACCATCACCGGCGCCTCGCAGTACCATGATCTTTTACGGGAATTCACGTCAATAACGCGGCCTGACGGAGCTCCAAAAGCGGTCAAACACCAGACGAAGCACCACATCATCACGACACCGGGTCCTCCGGTAGCACTAAGACCGAGGCGCCTTGCTCCAGACAAACTCAAAGCAGCCAAGAAAGAATTCGAAGCAATGCTCCGACTTGGACTCGCCAGGCCCTCAGAAAGCCCGTGGGCAGCACCGCTGCACATGGTGCCGAAGAAAGGAGATGAGTGGCGACCTTGTGGTGATTACCGAGGTCTCAATGACCGGACACAACCGGATCAATACTCGGTGCGCCACATTCAAGACTTCTCCCAAATGTTAGAAGGAAAGATCATCTTTTCTACTGTCGACTTAGTACGTGCCTTCAACCAGATACCCGTAGCCGTAGAAGACATCCCCAAGACAGCCATTACGACACCGTTCGGACTGTACGAATTTCCATACATGACGTTTGGACTTCGTAACGCAGCCCAAACTTTTCAACGGTTTATCGACGAAGTTCTACGTGGCTTGGACTTCTGCTATGCATACATAGACGACATCCTGATCGCCTCCGAATCGCAAGAAGAACACTTGGAGCACCTCAGAGTACTTTTCGAGCGCCTCCACGAGTACGGCGTCGTCATCAACCCCGGTAAGTGTATATTTGGAGTATCTGAAGTCCAGTTTCTCGGCTATCTCGTTTCAGGTTCGGGAACTCAGCCATTACCAGACAAAGTCAACGTCATCCGGTCATTTCCTCAGCCTCAAAGTGTTAAGAAGCTACGGCAGTTTTTAGGAATGGTGAACTTCTATAGGAGGTTCATACCCAAGGCTGCAAACGCGCAGGCACCGCTCAACGATCTGCTACAAGGTAACGTCAAGGGCAGCACACCAGTCAAGTGGACACCAGAGGCAATCGCGGCGTTCGCGAAGTGTAAGGAGAGCTTAGCACGAGCTACCTTACTGGCACATCCAAAGACTGATGCACCCCTAGCCATCTTCACCGACGCATCGGACGTTGCAGTAGGCGCAGTGCTGCAACAGTGGTTAGACGGCAGGTGGCAGCCGCTGAATTTCTTTTCAAAGAAGCTGACAGTTCCAGAGCTCAAATATAGTGCATACGACCGAGAACTCCTGGCGATCTACATGGCAGTCAGACACTTTAGGCATATGGTCGAGGCTCGGCAGTTTGCGATCTTTACAGACCACAAGCCGATTACGTTTGCCTTTCGGTTGAAGTCTACACAGTGTTCACCACGCCAACAACGCCATCTAGACTTCATTGGACAATTTTCCACAGACATTCGTCATGTGTCGGGCCAGGATAATGTGGTGGCTGATGCATTGTCACGCATTGAAGAGCTGGAGTCAGCCATCAACTACAAGGCACTTGCAGAGTCTCAGAAGAGAGATCAAGAGCTTCTGAATCTGCAACAAGGCTTTTCATCCCTCAAGTTGAGATCGGTACAGATTCCAGGCACAACTGAGTTTATTACGTGCGATGTGTCAGCATCAGCGCCTCGACCGTATATTACAAAACCATTTCGGAAGGCGGCGTTTAACTCAGTTCACCAATTATCCCATCCCGGGGCAAACGCTACATGCAAGCTTGCGACCCAACGATACGTCTGGCCCTCAATTAAATCGGACTGTCGTCAGTGGGCACGAAGCTGCGTGGAATGTCAGCGATCGAAGATATCTCGCCATGTCTCAGCGCCAGTGGGCTCGTTTGCGCCACCATCAGCAAGACTCGACCACGTACACCTTGACCTGATCATCATGCCACACTGCGATGGGTATCGTTATTGTTTGACTATGATCGATAGATTCTCTCGCTGGCCCGAGGCCGTCCCACTTGTCAACCAGGAAGCAACCACTGTTGCAGAAGCATTTTTCAACCACTGGATAGCTCGTTTTGGCGTCCCGCTGCGAGTCACGACAGACCAAGGAAGACAATTCGAATCCAACCTGTTCAAGCATTTGAATCGCTTGACAGGTACGACTCACATACGGACAACCGCATACCACCCAGCATCCAACGGTATGGTCGAGCGCTTTCACCGTCAACTTAAAGCAGCCATCCGTTGTCATCAAAGCCGCTGGACAGAGGCGCTTCCAGCGGTGCTATTGGGGATCCGTTCGGCGTGGAAGGACGATATAAATGCCACCACTGCAGAAATGCTATATGGCCAACCGTTGCGACTTCCAGGAGAGCTGTTGACACCCCGAATTCGTGAGGAGGACGACATCAACGCGGAGACTTTCGTTAAACAGCTGAGGCAGCGATTGCAGGACATAAGACCAGCAGTCATCAACCGTCATGGTGACAAGAAGATTTTTATCTTTAAAGACCTTGCAACAACGGGGCAAGTTTTCGTCCGCCACGACGGCCCTAAAAGACCTCTCCAACATCCATACGATGGGCCGTACCGAGTGGTTAGCCGTTCCGACAAGTTCTTCATAGTGAACGTCAAGGGCAAGAACATTACAATTTCAATTGATCGGCTAAAACCGGCATACACGATACTTGACAACATAGAACAACCCGAACAAGAGCCAGAACAACTTGGCGGATACGTTATTACCACAGCTCCGTTAAAGCCTGACCCACAACCCGAGCCACCAGCAGCGCTTATCGCACCAGACGTCCCACCAGCACGCGTCTCGGCTGGTTCGGGAAATACAACCACCAGAATTCATCGGCAGACGAGATCGGGCAGACAGGTTCGGTTTCCCGATCGCTTCCAATCCGGACTCTCGTGATCTTCATCACTGGCAGGGGAGTGATGTGGGGACTGGATTTCCCACTCTTGTCTGTCAGTACAATTTAAGTGATTTTTATAATAATTTTTATTTATTTTATTTTTATTGCTATGTATTTCGAATTATTATTAGTCAGTAATTATGTTTAAACTTTTCAGGTAGTAGGTTGTAAATAGTGTATTGCAGAGAGCGTGTGTTTGTTACCTGGAGCCTTGTAAAACATTGGAGTTTCCTGTCATCGGTAAACATCCTTTACGATTGCTTACTTACCTCTCCGGTTTCTTTACCGAAAGTAATTTATTTAATTTTATTTTTATTACCCTTTTATAGATGCGCTTTGATTTTTCCAAATGTTTCCTACCTATCCCCTACCACGATTAGGGGTGGGTGGCCAAAGGGCTCTTGGAAAATGCCGTGGTCTATCACGAGACACAACGTACTGACTGCCCGTTTTGAGTACATCGGCTCCGGGTGACAACACATTTAAATTATAATTCTGTTTGTGTATATATGTGTATTGTATTGTATATTGTGTATATGTAGTGTAATAAAGTTAAGTTTGTAAATACCTCGCCGTCGATCAATTTGCATTTGTTAAATGTACAAAATATATTATTAATGTACAAAATAAAAAAATTATTGTTAATTATCCAAAAAATATTGTCAGTTGTACAAAAAATGTTGTTAATTGTACAAACAATATTGCTAATTGCACAAAATACAAAGATATTGTTAATTGTACAAAAATTATTGTTAATTACACAATATATTTTGTCATTTTTACAAAATACAAAAATATTCCTAATTGTACAAAATCCTTAACATTTTGTTAAAAAATATTGTTAATAGTAGCAAAAGTATTGTTAATTACACAAAATATTGTTACACACAAAAAATATTGTAAATTGCCCAAAATACAAAATGTATTGTCAATTGTACAAAAAATATTGTTAATTGTACAAAATACAAAATTATTAGAGCCACATATCTGATGTAACCTAAATCTTGTAAAGATAAAAAGGATGAATAAATTTATTATCAGTATTGTTAATTGTTTAAAATACAACAAATATTGTTAATTATACAAACATTATTTTTAATTGCACAAAATACAAAAAATAACGTCAATTGTACAAAAAATGTTCTTAATAATTATTGTACAAAATACAAGAAATATTGTTGTGTGTACAATAATACTTTTAAATAGGTATATAAAAAATATCCCTTATTGCACAAAACATTGCTAATTGTTAATTGTACAAAAGTTATTCTTAATAGCACAAAATACAAGAAAATACTGTTAATTGCACAAAATACAAGAAATATTCTTAATTGTACAAAACACATTGTTAATGAAACAAAAAAAATATTGTTCATTGCACAAAATACAAAAAATATTGTTAATTTTAGAAGAAATATTGTTAATTGTACAAAAATTATTTTTAATTGCACAAAATACAAAACATATTCATTTTTGCTCAATAAATATTGTTAATTGCACAAAATAAAAAGAATTGTCAATTATACTAAAATATTGCTAATTGTACAAAAAATATTGTTGTAGAAATTGTACAAAATATACAAAAATTTGTTAATTGTACTGTACAATTAACAAATTTGTACAAACATTATTCTGAATTGTACAAAATACAACAAATTTTGTGAACTGTACAGAATACAAAAAAATATTGTTAAATGTACAATATAAAAAATATTGTTAATAATACAAAAAGTAAAAATAATTGTTCAATAAATATTGTTAATTGCACAAAATATAAAGTATTGTCAATTGTACTATAATAATGCTAATTGTACAAAAAACATTGTTAATTGCACAAAATACATAAATATTGTTAATTGTACATTTTGTACCTTTGTACCATTTTGTTAATTGTAAAACAAACATTGTTAATTGCACATAATACAACAAATATTGTTAATTATACAAAAAACAATATAAATTGCAAAAAATAGAAAAATATTCTTAATTGTACACAACTTGTAACACAAGGCTGGCAGGATATATCCTGCTAAATATCATGATATTAGACGACCCTGACATATATCGATATTTTTTTCTAAGTATAAATGATCAATATTTTGTTGTTTGTTTAATATTCATAAACTTATAAAAATTATAAAGTTGATTGTAGAACACATTTTTTTAACATAATAAAATCCAAAAAATATTGTTAATTGTACAAAAACAATGTTAATTGGACAAAAGGCAAAAAATATTCTTAATTGTGCAATAAATATTGTTAATTGCACAAAATAATAAAGTAATACTAATAATATTTAGTAATACAAAAATATTGTTAATTGTACAAAAATTATTCTTAATTGCACAAAACACAAAAAATATTGTTAATTGCACAAAATACAAAAATATTGTTAATTGCACAAAATACAAAAATATTGTTAAACATAAGAGAGTAAAAATCTTGTATGTTCACGGTAAAAGTTTTTACTGCCAAAGGAATCATAATAGTCCTGACTTGTGCACACAATATTTGTATTGTTTTAACCATTACTATCACTATTAACAATAAACCTTACCTCCGATAGCATCGATCTCGTCGAAGAAAATCAGGCAGGCCTTTTTGGACCTGGCCATCTCGAAAAGCTCCCTGACCATGCGAGCGCCCTCACCGACGTACTTTTGAACCAATTCCGAACCGATCACGCGGATAAAACAGGCGTCGGTGCGGTTGGCAACAGCGCGCGCGCATAGAGTCTTACCGGTACCGGGGGGGCCGAAAAGCAAAACTCCCTTCGGCGGCTCGATCCCCAGCTTCACGAATTTTTCCGGCTACAAACGAAAAAAGAAAATAGTCGGTTTTTGTGTTATTAGAATTAAAGTCTGTTAAAAAAAATACAATTATTTTTATTATTTTACAAACTACAGGGACAAATTAAATGTTTCAGCTCTTCTTAATGTGTATTTTGTAAATATTTATACCATTTTGAGTTTTAATATTTTATACTGGGGTCTTGCTAGAAATAGTAATAGAATTGTTACTTTGAAAAAATATGCTATTAGGGTTATTTTTAATTTAAAAGATTAACTAAATTGTAGATTATTTATTATATAATATTTTCGTATCAAAATTGTCAAAAATATTCTTTTTTTTATTAAGCTATACATTAAATAAAAAAACGCAAGAAATATTTTTATAAAAGTAGAGATAATTTTAATAATTGAAAGGTGTGGACAGGACAAAAAAAAATTTATCTTGACCCATCCACACCTGTCAATTTTTCGGAAAATTTACAAATTTTTTACGGATAATATCCGTAGGTACACTGATATTGAGAAAAAAGTGAATTTCCGACGCTAATTATAATCATAATATATATTATGATTATAATAATTATAATTTTTATCTTAATTTAGTAAGAATATTCTACCGGGCCACAAAAAAACATTTTCGGTGCTGTATTAACAACTTTTAATTAACACATCGATTTAAAGAAATTAATTAAATAGCAATTTAAATTTATAAATCATTCAATATTTTGTAGTTGGATATTTCACATTTACGTTTTATTCAATGTTTAATTTTTTTTAAATAAAGGATATCTAGGTATTTTTTTTAATTCAATAATGTTAAGTTGCTGATTGCTACTTTTTTCCCAATTTTTACCTATATTTTCAAAAAAAAAATTCAATTTTTTTCAATAAAGACAATTTTACCAAGGCCTGGGAAAAAAAAAGTTTTTTTTCCAACTTTTCCGGGTTTTTTTTTTCGACACTAAAACCCTAGTCTGGTACATAATAACAAAATCGAACTAATAAATACAAATAATTATTAATATTATTAATATATTACATTAATTACATAACACCCTGAAAAGGGAAATTCCCACAAAGTAAGGAGACTTTTCATATTTTTCATGCCAATGAATTCCAATAGGGATTTTATCCTTAGATCTGGTGGGGTAGTGTCAATGTAATATATTAAAATGGGTAGTTCCTTGGGGCCCATAAAGAAACACCTGAAACTTTTTTGTTTAAATTCTAAAAATAATTTATAGTAACATTTATCCTACCAAAAAGTACGCCACTGATCGACTAGGAACTTTAGGCTAATCTGGTTGCCTAATTTAATTTATTACGTTATATATATAACGAGCAACGTTTCCAGATTTTGTCAAAGAGACAGATTTTGTTTAAATTTAGCTTAATTACAAAAATGAAAAAATCAACAATGCAAATTGTTAATTTGGCGTTTTTATGTCATTTTTGTAATAAAGGTAAATTCAAACAAAATCTGGGAACTTTTATGACAGAGTCTAGTGCATTTCTTATAAATTTTAGGTTAAGTGCTCAAATTGTAAATATCTTAACCAAGGGAAGGGCTTTTGGATTTATTGACACAAATTGAATGTTTAAAGTTTAACCTGTGAACTTGTCCTAATTTCATCTGAGTAAACAGAAAGAAAAAAACCGATGAAAAAATTAATTTTGTGGTTATGGAGATTTTAAAATAGCCTATTTTAAATAGGTAATAAAATTTCTAATCATTGCTTAAGCTAATAGCTGGATGAGTAAATAAATACAGAAGGGTATTAAAGCTTTAAGGGCATAAAACGTTTGTGTTTATTGAGTTTTTATTTATTTTTTGCAAGAAAAATTTTTAGTAACAATTTTTTACAACTGGCAACGCGCAGCGTGTGTATTACACACGCTGTGTATCCAGTGGCATATCACAAAAAATATAAAAAACTTCTAATGCATATTTTTTCTTCATCTTTGGGAAAATATTATTTTTAAATATTTTTCTGTTACACCTTATGACAAAGGGCATTTTAATATATTACAATATTTACATAACACCCTGTATAATAATTTGCCAAATAGATTGTGTCTATTGTTTGTTAGTTTAGTTTTTAAGTAGAAACATTTTGTTTATGTTTAGTATTTTTCTTTTTGACCTCTCATTTAAAAAATTTCTGTTGTTATTCTGTGATTAATAAATTATTATTACATAAAAACATAAATGGGTCATTCCACGTTACTCGGGGATTTTTGTCCCGCCCGTCACAATTGAAAATTGTGAGTAAAAACAACACGTTATAAAATTTATTTTAAAATATTGTTTATTATGCTTTTAATAAGTTATAAGAACAATAAAAATAATATTATAAAATATTAATTTATTAACTTGTGGCTTTTACTCACAATTTTTAATTGTGACAGGCGGGACAAAAATTACCGAGTAACGTGGAATGCCCCAAATACATTTTTTGTTAAATTAAAACGTACATAGCCTTTTGGTTTTTCCAATAAATATATTTACTACTACTAAAACTTACATGCAACAATGGAGTCTCAACAACTTCCCTTAATTTCTCAATTTGCTCCTTACAACCGCCCACATCACTATAAGTAACATCAGGCTTTTCTTCCACCTGCATCATTGTTACTGTGGGGTCTATTTTGGGTGGCAAAGGAATATGAATTTGATATTTATTCCTATCAACACTAAAAATAAAAAAAATAAAAATAAAACATTTTATTTGTTTATTTTCCACAGCAAATCTCACCCAACCCTCATTCCTTCCTCAATATCAGTGGGGGCAACAGAATCGGCCAAATCCACCACAAACTTTGCAAATTGTTTAACATTAATAATGTATTTGGGATCGTCTGTATCAGCATTGATAATTTTGGTACATCTGGCAACCTGCAATGGCTGCTCATTCTGCAATGTTTGTTTATCAGCTGCTAAATCCCAAAGAGCCGGAGGAGCCAAACCAGTATCTAAAGGTGTCATAAAAAGTAGAAAAATGACTAAAAATAAACAAATAAACAAACCTGATTCTTTAATTCCTGTCAGCTCATTTACTCTCTTTATTATTGTTTGAATGTCATCTTCAACGACTTTTATAGTTTTAGTGTATTGCCCTTGTCCCTAAAACAACATTGTAACAAAATAAACGATAAAAATAATCAATATAGAAAAAAACAAAAAACAAAGAAAATATACGTTTATATGAAATTGTATGCATCCAAACTAACATAAACATATTAAAATCACTTACATATGTCTTCAAAAGTGCAATATCACCCTCATCAAGAGCTAAAATCAAAAGACATAACCCCAAAACTCACAAACTTTAACTTAAAACTCACATTTAATTTCCTTCTCGGGTTCCTCCTTATCCTGCTTCGTTTTCCGCATATCGTCTCCCAAATGGTCCGGCATTTTTTCGATAACAAACGGCTTTATTTGCCGTTCCACAAAATTCAGTTTCAACGATTACAAGCAGAATTTCTGACAAATTTGACAGCTACTGATGCGGCATCTATCGGTTGGTTGGCAAAGTTGTTTAGTTGGCGCCATCTACCTGGGAGTAGATTGGATTATAAAAAATTAAACAATTTAAATTAAAGATTAAATAATCAAATATTTAAAGAATCATGTTTTCAATAATAAACCCCCAACAAAATTAAATTACAACGTTTACAAGCCCAATTTGACCGATAGTTAATTGTTTGGGTGACGTTAGATATTCGTCATTGTTGGTTGCCTACACGATACACAAAAACCGGTATGCTGGTTACGAAACGAAAACTCGTCGTGACGTCACGTGCGAACCCGATTCAAATGCTACAAACGGTTTTGCATAGACATACGGTATGCACGAGTGTTTTTACTACGATTTCCTTTGAGTTTTTTTCGAAATAATTGTGTTTTTTAAGTATAATTATACCTTAAGCTACGCACGATGGTTTTGCAACGTTTTTACCGCATTTATTGCAGCAATATATAACTATTTACAAGGTATTTATAAGCCACGCACGGGTGTTTTATACCACTTTATTTATTAAGTTTGGGTTATACCTATTTATTGGACTTAATAACTATTTAAAATATACCCCTGATAGCACACTTTATTCTAAGAATGTTTTTTAAACCTCTCATTGAGAATATTCTTAGGATCATCCCTACTTAAAATACCCCATAGAGATCTATACAAAATAATCTATCGGGTGCTACCGCCCACACAGAACACGCTATCCAATGGATATCCAATGGCTATCCCAATGTCCATATAACATCCATGCCTTTTACGATATCCATTGGATATCCAATGGATATCCATACTGGATGTTCAAAAAAAAACAAAAACATTAAAAATATTTTTTTCTTTTTTAAAATAGCCCCTTATAGGATAAATTTATGTAATGATTAATAAATATGATTTAAATCGTTATTAACCCAATTTCAACAAAGTATCTCTAATATATATCCAATGGATAACTAATGTATGTCCAAAGTATATCCACTGTACATCTAATGTATATCCACTGGATATCCACTGGATATCCGATGGATATCCATACTGGATGTTCAAAAAAAAACAAAAACATTAAAAATATTTTTTTCTTTTTTAAAATAGCCCCTTATAGGATAAACTTATGTAATGATTAATAAATATGATTTAAATCGTTATTTACCCAATTTCAACAAAGTATCTCTAATATATATCCAATGGATAACTAATGTATGTCCAAAGTATATCCACTGTACAGCTAATGTATATCCACTGGATATCCACTGGATATCCAATGGATATCCATACTGGATGTTCAAAAAAAAAACAAAAACATTAAAAATATTTTTTCTTTTTTAAAATAGCCCCTTATAGGATAAATTTATGTAATGATTAATAAATATGATTTAAATCGTTATTAACCCAATTTCAACAAAGTATCTCTAATATATATCCAATGGATAACTAATGTATGTCTAAAGTATATCCACTGTACATCTAATGTATATCCACTGGATATCCACTGGATATCCGATGGATATCCATACTGGATGTTCAAATAAAAACAAAAACATTAAAAATATTTTTTTCTTTTTTAAAATAGCCCCTTATAGGATAAATTTATGTAATGATTAATAAATATGATTTAAATCGTTATTAACCCAATTTCAACAAAGTATCTCTAATATATATCCAATGGATAACTAATGTATGTCCAAAGTATATCCACTGTACATCTAATGTATATCCACTGGATATCCACTGGATATCCGGTGGATAACTGATATGGATATCTTGTATATATACTTGTATGTATACATGTGGGATTTTGTGATGGTTTAAACTAGCATATGTAAAAAAAACGACTTTACGTTAAATTGATTTTTTGCCAAGAGCTACGAAATTTTTAATTTTGAAATGTTCACTTTACCCAGATAATAATATTTATATATTAATAATATTATTTCTGTTAATAATATGACTATGACAGTCTGCAATACAATAAAAAATTACTTAAAAAAGTCCTTTTTGTTTATTATTGTATTTCATATATGTACTACGCACGCGCTGAATTTGAGAATCTTCAGTGTTGCCGGTTATAAGCAAAATAACTAAACGAAATATATTTCCGTACTTTATTAAGTTTTAATAAATAAATTAAATAAATTTTAAATAATTATTCACCACATTTATGTCAAATAGGTATACTAGGTATACTAATTAATTAAGTATTAAAGATTTAATAATATAACCGCCATTTTGATGAGCTTTCTGAAATTATTTAAACGTCTGACAACACTGCCGGCGAACACAGAAGATAAATGTCACCATATTACCTTGCCGCTGCATCTCGCCGCTGTCCAGGTCGCCCAACTAGTATATAGGTGGGCGGTTGCTTGGCTTGAAGCGTGTCTCTCGGCACCAACTGCTGAGTCACTGATGAGACCCAACAGGTCGAAACAGTCTGTCTGTCAGTGTTGGTGGGCATGGTACATTAGTCATTGTGCCATGTTAAACAAATGGGCTGATGGATTGGCCAAATTTTGGGGATCATAAGGAGACAGGTGAAATAGGCCCTAAATGATTAGGCTGATAAAAAGGCAAATGACAGCTGGAGGAGTGATGGCAAGCACTTCTTTAGTTATATGTAGTTTTCTGTTCTATTTTATGTTTTCATAAAAATAAATATTTAAATTAAAGAATAAGACTTTTATTTTAAAACCCAATGTTATTTATTAAAAAGTAAATATCCATTTATTCACCATATCCAATACAGATGACAACCATATTGCATACAATACTATATCCACTGGGTATCCATTGGATATCCACAGTATGTCCAGGAGGGTCGGACATTTATATATCCAATGGTTATCCATTGGATATCCATACAATCTCCATATTGAATACAGATTACAACCTTATTGCATACAATACTATATCCACTGGGTATCCATTGGATATCCACACTATGTCCAGGAGGGTCGGACATTTATATATCCAATGGTTATCCATTGGATATCCCGGATATCCTATGTATATCCTGGATATCCATAAAAGAAATCCATTGGATATCCATTGGATGTAATTGTTCCGTGTGGGCGGATTCAATATGTGCATTTGTCCATTTTTCCTCGGTTTTTTCCGGATACGGCTCGATAGAAAATTTATAGGCACCATAACTTTTACATTTTCCCTATTGAGACCGATAGCAAATAATTATTTGAGTTAATTCAATGAAGTATACTTCATTGAATTAACTCAAATATATGGGGATATCCCCAAGCGCGTCGCCAGCCGGTAAGCTATAGCTATAAGCATATAAGAACAAGAGAAAAATTAAAAAAAAGTTTTCATAAAAAAAAATAAAAAAAGAACAAAATAACTACACACTTTGTTGAGTTTGAGTTTCAAACATGGTGCTCCTCAACCAGGTTTTGATTCTCCTGAGGCTACTGAATGACCTTTCAACTGCACCAGTCGTACAAGGTAAAGCAACAAGGATCTTTAAAGCCTTCTTAATTTCAGGAAAAAAATCTTCACTCAGTTTATCGTTTCAATTAGCAGGGTGACTTGTGAGCGTTAACCTCTAGGGGGGGCAGCTGCCCCCCTGCCCCTCTCTGGCGACGCCCTTGGATATCCCTATAGAGCAACCATAAAACATTTGACAAAATTTTATTAAAACCTATGGGGTTCTATGGGGGAAAAATTAATTTCTACATTTATGTGTATTTTCCCCATTGATAGCAAATAAATCAAGGGTGGATATCCCTATAGAACAACCATAAATCCCTATGGGTCCTACACATACTGATACACCCTATAGAAACACCATACATTCCAATACAAATATATATATATATATATATATATATATATATATCTATCGGTTTGAACAGGGTCTCTATGGGGTATTTCAAGCAGGGATGCTATATTTCTTCTAAAAAACATGCTTAAAGGTAAAGACATATAGCATGATCCTAAGAATATTCTTACTGGCCTATAGGCAGGTTCTTAGAAGGTGCAAAGTTTTAGTGGTAAAAATTAGTCTACTCTAAACATATGCTTAGAATGTTAAGAAAGTAATTGCTATAGAAAGTTCATTTAGGAATATTCCTGTTAAGCATATTTAGTTCAGTTACCTATATAATAGTAAAATATACCATAAACTACATATAAAGGTATATACCTTAACTTAAGTACATTTATAATTATAAGTATAATTAGTAATTAGTATTAAATACTAAGTAAAAAACAATCCAAATTATAGGACCCATAGTTGGGATTTATGGTTGTTCTATAGGGATATCCACCCTTGATTTATTTGCTATTGGTTTCAATGGGGAAAATACACATAAATGTAGAAATTAGTTTTTCCCCCATAGAACCCCATAGGTTTTAATAAAATTTTGTCAAATGTTTTATGGTTGCTCTATATATCCCTATAGGGATATCCCTATATATCCTTCATTAAGTTATTTTCTATCGGTCTCAATAGGGAAAATATAAAAGTTATGGTGTGCCTATAGGTAATTTCCTATACCTACATTTTCTATCGGGCCGTATCCGGAAAAAACCATGGACAAATGCACATATTGAATCCGGTAGCGCCCGATAGATTTTTTTGTATAAGTCTTTATGGGGTATTTTAAGCAGGGACGGCCCGATAGAAAATTTATAGGAAATTACCCACACCATAACTTTTAAATTTTCCCTATTGAGACCGATAGCAAATAACTCAATGAAGGATATATAGGGATATCCCTATAGAGCAACCATAAAACATTTGTCAACATTTTATTAAAACCTATAGGGTTCTATACATACCGATACACCCTATAGAAACACCATACATTCCGATACAAATATCTATCGGTTTGAACATGTTCTCTATGGGGTATTTTAAGCAGGGGTACTAAACCCCCGCCCACCCAACCTATCCCTTGTCTATGGAGGCGTATTTAGAAACCTTCTAAAAACATTCCAAAAACGTATTCTTAAAATGTTCTTAGGATGCTTTTTAGGAAGGTTTTAAGAAGCTTTTAAGAATCTAATTGCATTATTAAAAGGGTATCTATTGAATGTTTAAAAGTCCCTAAGAACCCTAAGAATTCTTAGCAACAGTGGCGGCTCGTGGCAGTAAAATTTGTGAGTTCTGCCAGTGGGTTTAAAAAAATGTGGGACAGTGGGCATTTAATTAAATGGTACCTACAGTTAATTAATTAAATCATAATTAAATCATACACCACATTCATTCTTACAAAAGATTACAACAATAAACACAAAAATACACCGAATTAACAGTCTTCTAGTTAAAATAACAAACGTGAACGCGAAGCGAAAAACAAACGACCGGGAAGTAGGAACTGTATGTTGGTGCAGCTCCGGTTTGGCTTAAATTTTACTATCTAAACCTAGGACCAAGAGCGGCGCGGAGAAAAATTACGGTATTGAAATGGGAGCCAGAACTCGAAAGTGGCCCAGCTTTATTGTATTGTAAGCGTTAAGCGTTAGAGACCTTTACCGGTCGTTTGGATGACTGTAGTGGCCAAGTACGGCGAATGTTTATAATAAAAACTTTTTATGCAGCCATGCGTTTGAAATATTCATACACTGTCGCACTTAAATATTAAATAATTAAAAAATTAGTCAAGTAATAAGAAAATTTTGGGAGTTCTGCAGCTCTGCAGCCCTTATGCACTAGCCGCCCCTGCTTAGCAATAAGGGAAGGTTCTAAGAATATTCCATTATTCCGGGTCATATCTTCTTAGAAGATTCTTAAAATCAAATTTTGCTATCAGGGACCGCGGGCTGGGCTGTAGCAGAGAGCAGAAATATGAACAGAAACTCCAACACTCAAGCTAACCTAACATGAAATATTTTTGATTTCCAAAAAATAAAGATCTGGCAGCTCGGTGCATAAGTTCTTACAGCTTGCATAAGTTCTTACTATAAAAATTAAAACACGATTGTATCGGAAACCCGCTTCAAAAGTGTCGCAAAAGCAATTTGAGATTTTTTTTTACTTTTGACACTTTAAAATGGGCGTGCGTTAGTATTAACTGTATGAATGCATTTTTGTTACCTTTCACATTAAAAAAAATGTAAAATTCGGTCTAGCGTAAATTAAGTTAATTAAGTTAATTAATTTAAATAAAAAATATTTTGAAAAATAATAATAAGAAGGTAGGAAATTAATTGGTGCCTATATTTATATTACATTAAGTAGTACCTATTAAAAGCGCTTGCTGCCAATTTAGCTTTCTCGTAACATTTGTTGCACTCAGGCCGTCCCCATATTTATAAATTTTCGAATATAACGTGAATTTGCAATGCAAATAACATTCTAACGCCAGCTTTTGGTTCGCACATGACGTCACACGGTGCGAGAGAGATAGCTAGCTATAACCTGCTTATCAGCATACAGGTTTTTACGTATAATAGTTGCCTATACTTATTAAGTAGGTTATGGTGTTAAAATAAGATCCTTTTATTTTTAAAACGATAATTTATTATTATTTTTATCACATAAAAATGTGAAATTACATTATATTTACAACAATATTTAAAATAAATAAATAAATACAAACTTATCACTTTAATATACAGTTTTTCCATTTTTTTGGCATTAAAACTTTTTACAAACGAACTTTAGAACATTGTCGCTTCTGAGTTTTTATTAATCTCTTTTTAAAACGTTTTTATGTAAAAATTGTGCAAAGTTACATTTTATTAATTAAAATTTTAGTAAGTTTTTTAAATTACTTAATTTATAAATACAGAAAAACCAAAATCTCTTGGAGATTACCTACCAAAAACATTCTGTATAATAAATTAAGTAATATACTAAAGTCACTTTAACAATTAAAATTGGTATAGGTACTATAAACCTAATTTCTAATAATATGGGGTTGGATTTTTAATTTTTTTATATTACAGGGTATTTATACAACACTTTTCACTGGGTTTTATTTTTTAAGTCTTTGGGGTCTTGGTCTCGACTTTTTTCGAAATTGTTTCCTAAAAATTGATGAATTTTGAAGTTTACGTATTTTTATCACAATAAAACTGTTGAAAATATTAAATGACCTTCCAATATTCCTTAAAAATCGAGACGCATTCTTAAAAATATAAAGTTCATTATGTTTTATTAAGGCTTTCGAAAAATTGAACAGGGATTTTTGTATTTTCTTAGTTACACTATTTTTTTTAGTCGTCCCGACAACAACATCGGTAGCACTGCCGGCATATGTAAAAACAACAGCAACACAGCATTATAAGCACGGACACCGTTGCCATACCCACGTAGATCCAGTTGATTTCGGGAACGGAATCCTTCAGGCAGAGCTCAGGCGATTCGTCGCTGAAGGCGGTTCCTAAAAATATTTTTTTAAATTTTCTGTGATTATTTTCCCGAAAACTGTTTACCTTTATAGTCGGTTACGTTCGGGCAGTTTACTATTCCGTTGCAAACAAGTCTAGCAGGAATGCAGAGTCCTTGTTCTCCAGGACATTCAAATTCGCACCCCTCCACCAAATCCTGGGCCACTCCTGCGTCTCCAGTAAATCTGTAAAAATGTTCAAAGAATTAAAGAATCAAAGAAACAAAATCAAAGAATCAAAGTACTTTGATTCTTTGATTTTGCAACGTTGCAAAGAATCAAAGAGCCAAACAATTAAAGAAACAAGGAATCAATAAATAAAAGAATCAAACATTTAAGGAATCATAGAATTAAAAAGTCAAAGAACCAAACAGTTAAAAAATCAAAAAATAAAAAAATTAAAGAATGAAAAAAAAATCGAAAAATCAAACAATCAAAAAGTCAAATCCAGGTAGCACAACGTGACGAAACCGTGACGATTTGTGTCCAATTGGACACAAATCGTCACGGTTTCGTCACGTTGGGAAGATTCAAAAAATCAAAAGGTCAAAGAATCAAAGAATTAAAAAATCTAAGAATCAAAGAACAATGAGTCAAAGAATCAAGAAATCAAAGAATTAAAGAGTCAAATAATCAAAGAGTCAAACAATAAAAGTCACGAAAAATTAAAGAAAAAGAAAATAAATATCAAAAAGTCAAAGAATCAAGAAATCAAAAAGTCAAAGAACTAAAAAACAAAGAACCAAAGAATAAAAAAAGTCAAAGAATCAAAGAATTAGGAAATCAAAGAATAAAAAAATCAAAGAAACCACAGAATTAAAGAATCAAAAAGTCAAAGAATTAAAGAATAAAAGAATCAAGAAATCAAAAGGTCAAAAAATTAAAAAATCTAAGAATCAAAGAATAAAGAGTCAAAGAAATAAAGTCACAAAGAATGAAGGAAAAATAAAATAAGGATCGAAAACTCAAAAAAAAAAGTTAAAGAATCAATGAATCAATAATAATAATAATAATAATTATTTATCACAGAAGTGCCTAACTACAAAACTTATTGGACTAGTCAGAATTAAAAATTATATATACTTATTTAAATAATCAAACAAGTATACATAACGTTTAAAATATACATACAAGTTTTAAATACAAATAACATGAAAGTATATATACCTAAATAAATACAAAAACTAAAAACTCTCATTAAAAAATTCATCCACTGAATAATAAACTTTATCCAAGAATATGTTATGTAATCTCTTTTTTAAAACCTTGTTGTTTTTGCAACCTGAAACTATTTTATTTACCTTATTGAAGCATTTTATTCCCATATATACATATATGTGATGTTTGTGCTATTGAAAGCCTTTGAAAAGGTACCACTAAATTATTATTTGCTCTCGTAAAATAATCATGCATATTATTTTGTTTTAAAATATCACTTTTATTTTCTGCAATATGTAAAATTAAGTTTAAAATGTAAAGACTAGGCAAAGTTAAAATCTTATACTTTATAAACAATGATTTACATGAGTATGTTAAATGTTTATTATCCACACACCTTAATATTTTTTTCTGTGTTATAAAAGCTTTATTGGAATAGGTCGAACTTCCCCAAAATATAAGTCCATACACTAAATGTGATTGCACAGCTTTAAAGTACAATTATCTCAAAATTGAATATGAAATTGAATTTTTTAAAGATCTAATTAAATAACAAGCAGAACTGACCTTCTTATTCAAATTGTTTACATGCGCTTCCCAAGTTAACTTTCCATCCAAGTGTAATCCCAAAAATCTCATTTGATCCACTGATTGAATGGACTTACCCTCAATCGAGATAAACAGATCATATTTCGGTGTCACATTTCACTAAAGTCATTTGAACAAGAGGAGGCCTCTAAAGCTAGTTGGTTTACATTTCTACTTTTTATAAATTAATTTGTGTCGTCTGCATACAGAATTAATTTTTCCCTATCAGTATTACATATATTCAAATCATTAACAAACAACAAAAACAAGAGCGGTCCCAGTATTGAACCCTGAGGAACCCCCACAGATACTTCAGAACTTGTTGACTTTTCGTTATCTATCATAACAATTTGTGATCTATTGTGTAAATAAGAACCTATCCAATTATTGGAATTTCCTCGTATACCGGCTGTCTCTGTCTCTTGCTTATTAACAATTTATGGTCTATTGAGTCAAACGCGCGACTTAAATCATAAAACAAACCTATGACGTGTTGTCTTTCATTAAGTGCCTTTAATATAAAATCTAACATATCGGCTATGGCTGTATGAGTGGATTTATTTTTTCTAAATCCATTTTGGAAATTTGACAAAATATTAAATTTATTTAAAAAACATTCTAAACGTGAATAAAACACGGTATCTATAATTTTACTAACTTGGCTTTGATTTATTACCTTTATTTTTAAAAATGGGAACACATTTTAAGACTTTTAAAGCAGAAGGATGAATTAATGAATCAAATAATTAAAGAATTGAGAAATAAAGAATTTAAGAATCAAAAAGTAAAAAATCAAATATTCGAAGATTCAAAGAATCAAGGAATAAAAAATGAAAGAATCGAAAAGTTAAAGAAACAAAGTCAAAGAATGACAGAATCAAAGAATCACATCAAAGAATTAAAGAATTAAAGGATTAAAAAATCAAAAAATAAAAAAATCAAAGATTCAAGGAATCAAAAATTAAAGAATCAAAACGTTAAAGATTCAAAGGGTCAACAAGCCAAACAGTAAAAAAATAAAATAATGAAAGAAGGAAAAAATGAATAAAAAATTAAAGAATAAAAAAGAATTAAAGAATCAAACAATCAAAAAATATCTTCGGGAATCTTCAAGAAGAATCCTAAATTGGGAATCTAAAAAATACGTAACTCCATTAAACAATAATATAAATGTTACCTAGATTGCATTAAGCTTCCATCTACATTTCTTGGTAGATGGAAAAGTTCCGTCCAGGCGATTTTAAATGCCGCTCTTGTGGGAGATGTCCTTCCTATGAACTGTATTGTAATACTGGGGTCTGAACTGTCAGGACTTAGTTCTGCAGATGACAATATGGGTAGTTCCTTGGCCAAGGATACGTTTTCGCCACAAAGTGATAAGTAAGGATCCAAACGACCTAAAAAATTTTGTAAAACGTTATCTTTTTAAATAAATTATGTTTCCCCTACCTTTAAGAAATATATCCACAATCCCATCATCGCAGCTTTTCGAAGAAAACTTGATTCTGTCGAAGTGCAACCAAAGGTCCCTTTCTCTGCTAACCTTTATCTCCCATATACACCTAATCGATTTCGGTGGTTCAACGTATCCTATAGCCTCGTAGTACGGATAATGAATCTCTCCATCGGTTGCAGGATGTATAATGGGGGGCCCGCAGAGGGGGCCGTGTACAAACTCATACTGGGCCTCAAAAAGTGGAGCTAAAAAGTGAGAATCATCATCAGTCATGTTTGATTATAAAGGACTCCTTTTTTACCAGTATGTTTAAAATAACTCAGTGCTGAATGTGTACTATCCACAATCATCTGTAAGTTGAGCTGTTCCCCATGAGATATCACTTGTATTGGGTATGATTGTTTGTTACATATGCATGTAACTTCTCCGTTTTGAGCAGCTTTGCTCAGTGATACAGCAGGGTAAGTGGTATTTGAGCCTGTAGAGGTTGGTTCCCAGATTACCAGTTTGTCCACACGATCTTCTAGACAGTTGGTACATGGACCTGGAGTAAATGGATGGTCCTGAAAGTATAAGAAGAGATGAAATATGTAATGTAGGATTTTATTTTTCTCTTACCTTAAAGTAGACGTTAGTTACGGTAAGTATCACCCTAGCAAACAGCCTTTTATCAGTAACAAATCTGTATAAGCACTGAACGTCTTCGTTGTTTTGAGCTTGCTTATACACAAGGGTATTCATAGGCGACCTAACCCAACCTCTGGTTTGTCTCCAAGAAGCAAAAACTTCATCACATTGCTTACCAGGTACAGGTTCGCCAAGTTTTGTGTTGTTGAAGAAATCGTAATGGGCCCAGTAGTACAATGAAGAGCTAAAACAGTGCAGTTCTTAGACTAAATCCTAAGAAGATTTAACGGACTTACCCGCTATAGCTTCCCGTTTTGCTTTCGAATCTCACAAATAGTGAGTTACCAGTGGACACGAAATCATGCTTTTCCATTGCTTTGGAGAAGGTATCACAGAAGGTTTTGATGATTTTGGAATCGTCCGGCCAGGATGCATCGTACAATGTCAATGACTCTCCACAGTCACCTTCTATTGGTTTGATTGGGGACTCTATCCGGTTTATCCTGAAGCTATAAGCACAAATATTCATTTATGCTTTAGACAGAAGCTTTCGCAAGAACGTTGTATTCATTGAAGTTAATATAAAGTGGTTAATAAAGTGTTCATAAAATTTAAAAGATTAGTGTTTGCGCTTTAAGCTAAACCTTAACGTTCCAGAATTAAGCTTTTGAATTTCTTATTGGTTACATTTTAGCTGTATGCTGCATGTAGCGAATATCCAATAACGCTAAAATGCAACTGGGGCAGTCTAGGTCGCGTCTTCCTAGGAAATAAAGTGTTTCAGGTCGTATATGTCCCGGAAAACTCCATTTACTTCCACGAAATCCGACAGTTTTATATCCGGCATGGCAAGATTTAGTTCATTTAAATTTTTGGTCTGCAAGACGAATTCGTCTTAACTTAAATTGCATTAAAATGAAGACTTTAAAATTAAATTTTTCCCGAAATTCAACTAATGGAGTTTATTTCCCCAAAAAATTCTTTAAACATGTCGTTTTGGGATGATAGTTTTGAGTATTATTAAATTTAAAAGTTCGTGATTTAAAAAAAAATTTTTTATCTTCATAAAATTATTTAAAAATGGTTTTAATGGATACATTAACCAATTAAATGTTCGAGTTGCTCTCTTGAGAACGTTTTGGATGACTTTCGCACTAATAAAGGGACATTCTTCACGAAGTTGATTTTTCAAGTCTTCTAAATTTCGTGTTCTGTTGATGTAAACCTTTGATTTAAGGTAGCCCCATAAGAAATAATCGAGAGGGGTGAGATCTGGAGAACTTGCTGGCCACTCTATCGATCCAGTCTGCCAATCCACCTCTTAGGAAAACATGTGTCAAAAAAGTACAGACAGGACGCGCATAGTGCGGAGGTGCCCCGTCTTGTTGAAACTAAATGGTATCACTTGGTAGATCGGGAGTATTACAATTTTGACGGTTGAACTGTACCATTCAAACAGAAGGTAGCTTCGTCCGAAAAAAGTATTATTGTTACATTCGGATCATCTTCGTTAAGATCCTGCACTATAGACTACTTTTGTATGGATGGTAGGTACTTTTCTTTCTTCATAAGACGTAATACTGAGCGTTGGCTGACTTGACTTTCAGCTGCGACTAGGCTAGAAGCACTTTGAGGATTTCTTCCACACGTAACAAAATGTCAATTTTAGTGTCTTCACTAAAACTCGGATGGCCAGGTTTTCGAATATCGTTGACATGTCCAGTCTCTCTAAATTTCCGTTCAATATTAATAACTGTAGCACGAGTAATAGATAGAGCTGAATACGTTGCTTTAAATAAATTGCAAACTTCTTGTTGTGTTCTAGTTTTATTGCCACATCATATAAAAAATAAAACAATTCTCTGTGTGTCCGTTAAATGGAGAACGTTATTTGGAGAACGCTTAAGAGACAGATACTTCACTAAACGCTCAACTAAAAGTTTTTACATCTAGTAGTGAATATTTGTTTTAAAGCATGTGCTAACAAGGAAATATAAAATAAAAAACTTCCATATATCGACGGAAATTTTCAATATTTCCACTTACCTTGGGAAGTACAACCTCACAATTTCCCCTTCCTCTCCTTGCATAAGGTAAGTGCAACTTGTATGAGGTGGATACCAATGTGCGACGCTGAGAAATATTCCCTCTGAATCCCGGGAGGCTCTGAGAGTTTCTGAGGTGAGGAGCCAATCGCAGGTGCCGTTCCTCGAACCTGCGGTGTCCACGTGACCCGGCCAGTTACCAACGTTAAAATGAAAACCGGTGTTCAGCAGAGGGCCTGGAAATAATGTATAAGAGTCATGATACACAAAAACCGGTATGCTGATGCGCATGTTATAGCTATCTCTCTCGCACCGTGTGACGTCATGTTCGAACCAAAAGCTGCCGGGTAACTGGGTTGGAATGTTATTTGCACTGCAAATTCACGTTTTATTCGAAAATTTATAAATACAGGGTGTCCCGAAATTAGGGGGCCAAACTTAAACAGTGCATTCTTCATAGAAAAGTAACACTTTTTTGTTAAATAAACTTGTATTAAAAAATGCCCCCTAACGGAGCTACGGCCCCCTGAATAGTAGCCTAAGAGAATAGTTTTTTTAAACTATTCCTAGAGCGTTAAACATGAAGAAATGAAATTTTGGCGCTTTGGTAATTTTTAGATGCTGAATCAAGATCTAAGATCAAAACTGTTAAAATTTAATCATAGGCGTAACATTTGGGGGGGAATAGTTATAAAAATAGCCCCAACTTTTTTCCGAGATAATATTTTAATTTTTTTTTATGAAATTATGAAAACTTGTAGTTTTTTACGAAAAATAGGTAGTCTTGATTTGAATCGCTCAGATGCACCATTTTCGAGAAAAATGCATTTATAAATTACTCTGCATAGCATACACATCTCATATTGACGTTAAAATTTTGTGTTAAAATTTGGAAAATCGCTCCATAATAAAAAAATAACAAAAATCGAGCCAAAAAATATTAACTAAACTATAAAAATAAATGTAAAGTCAGCAAATAACCCAAACGTCACTTTTGTCCCAAAGCTTTTTAATGAAAATATTAGAAATTATGCTAAGCATAGTAATTTAAATTGCAATTTTCTCGAAAATGGTGCATCTGAGCGATTCAAAGCAAGAGTACTTATTTTTCGTGAAAAACTATACATTTTCATAATTTTATAACAAAACATTAAAATACTCACTCTGAAAAAAGTTGGGGCTGTTTTTGTAAATTTGCCCCCTCAAATGTTACGCCTATGATTAAATTTTAACAGTTTTGATTATAGATCCAGATTCAGAATGTCAAAATTCAGGTCTTCAACCCTCTAGGAATAGTTTTAAAAAAAATGATGCTCTTAAGCTCCTATTTAGGGGGGCGTAGCTCCGTTAGGGGGCATTTTTTGATATATTCGTGGGTTGAATATTATATTGTTCTAATAGAATAAAACTAATGTTTTGAAAATCAAGTTTTGAAATTTCGAATATTAATATTATTGAAGTTTGTAAAGATATTTTGTACTTAACGCGAGTGAGCTAGTGCATAGTGCTTAGTGCACTTAATTTTAGTATTTTGGTTAACTAAAAATGTTAATAATAATAATAATAATAATCAAACAATTGCTAATAGAACATTTTTGTTTTATTATTTTTCAAAATTTTACAAAACGTTCCAAAATGTTCTAACAGTATAGGGTGAAAAATTACTCTTACAAAGAAAACAAGGCTTAAGTAATACTAATTATTTATGATAACTCAACTCAACAACTAATTATTGTCTTTTTTTTCTCATTCGCAAATACAGCAGCATTATTAAGTTGTTTAAAAAAGTTTTTAAAAATTACATCAACAGGCGGCATAAACTCAAATAATTTGGTTAGATCAGCAACTTTAGCAAAAGACAGGAGACATTCTTTTAGTTCAGGTTTATTGCGAATATCTGGTATCAACATTGGCGAAAATACATCGCCATACTCAGGTCTAAAAACAAAACAAAAAGCAATACAAAATTATAAAAAAGTAAATCCACATAGGTAATCTGGATCTGCACAGGAATTATCACTATCTTCAAAGTATTCAATTTGATGCATAAAATGATTATTTTCGAATACGTCTAACTTGTTAAACAGCAACTAAAAAATATAGTTTGAGAAAAAGTTCTAAAAGCATGTTTTAAAGCAAACAAATTCGTAGAAATAAGCTAATAATGTTCTGTTAGTAGCTACGTTTGAGTTTAGGGCACAAATCACTTTACGTATAAATTATAAGTTTTATTTGGGTATTTTATAACTATTTTATAATAATATTGTATTTTTGTACTTACGGAATCTCACTATCATTTATTTTTAAATAAAATAATCACTTAAACCACCAAAAACCCACAATCCACACAACAAAGTCTGTTCTATCTCATGCTAAAAATACTAAAAATCACTGCAACACTGCACATAGTTTAACGGCGGCCATTTTTGTTGTTTACAATTCCTGTGCTTTGGGTTTGTGCTGTTTAATAATTGTTTTAAACGTTGTTTCTTACAGAGGCACTTGTAAGCCTCAAATAAGGCCTTTAAGTGCTAAGGACAACTCTTTTATAATAAATATACCTTATTTTATCAGGGCTGTCCAATGACAATTTGAAGGTTAATTTGTGGGTTATAATTTAACCTTAAAATTGACTGAAAGTTTTATGACAGCCCTGATAGAATAAAGTTTATTTTTTACAATAGAGGAGTAAAATGGTTGTTCTTAGCACTTTAAGGACTCTTTTAAGGCTTACTATGAGAAACACAACGTTTAAAACGATTATTAATCTGTATAAACAGAGCACAAACCTAAAGCACAAACATTGTAAACAATAAGGTGACCAACCGTTCTGATTTAACCAGAACTATACTGTTTTTGAGAACCATGTTCTGGTTGTAAATTAAGTAAAGTAAAAGTTCTGTTTTTCAAAAACTTTTCTGTTTTTTTCTGTTTTTATACCTACATATACCTACAATACTAATTAAGTCATAAACATAAAATTATATTTTCCACTTTGCCAGATTTTTCGCCCAATCGTGCAACCCTGCTCGCCCTACTCCCACTAAATACATTCGCGTTGGCGTTCGCACTTGGCTCTCCCCAAACGAACTAATAGTTCGGAACTATTTTAGTATTGCGCATGTCCCTGACGTCTGCGCGTTTTATTGTGGTTAAATATTGTAATATCCATTGTTTTTATATTTTAAACTCTAAATGATATGCCCCTGTAAAGAGGAAAATGCATCTTTAATGCAGAAATGCAAAAGAATTAGGCACCCATATTGTTGTGTTTATCTTGAAAAAATAGTCCTGTAGAGAAAGTTTTTTCCAATATGAACAACTTTTGGACAAAAGACAAATCACAATTGCGTATTGAAACACTAAAATCATTATTAATTGTTATAACTAATTTCGATCAAACATGCTTTAAAAAAATGAAGTTCTAATAAAAAAATTCACTCCCAAGAAAAATAGTTTTAAAAAATCTTAATTTGTAATAATATTATTATTATTAGAAATACATGTAAACATTTTATAAATAATACAGATTTTTTATTAGAGTTCTGGTTTTTCTTTCAGGAGAGTTGGTCACCTTAGTAAACAACGAAAATTGCCGCCGTTAAACTGTGCAGTGTTGCAGTGATTTTTTGTATTTTCAGTACGAAGTGTATACGTACGAGATAGAACAGACCTTGTTGTGTGGATTGTACAAAAACCACAGACAAAAACCTACGACTTAATTCCTTAAACTGCCGATGACAGATATGTTAGGCTGTCAGTGACAACTCGAAAACTTGCAATTTAATTGATTGGTTTGTTAGAACATTATAATAGTTCATTATATTTGAATTTTGCACATAGAACAAAATAATAATGTCGTTTTTAGTATTTCTGGGCTATATTTAACAGTGATACTTATTTAGATAGATAGATATTCGTTAAACCTTCATTTTTATGTAAAAATTTCATTTTCCGCCAAAATTGCTGATAGAACAATATAATATTCAACCCACGAATATGTTTATTAAACAAAAAAGTGGTGTTTTTCTATAAAGAATGCACTGTTTAAGTTTGGCCCCCTAATTTCGGGACACCCTGTATAGGGAAGGCCTAAGTGCAATTATTAAGTGTAACAAATGTTAAAAGAAAGTTAAATTTGCATCAAGCGCTTTTAATACTAATGTAACATTTTTAAAGCAACAATTAATTTCCTACCTTCCTATTATTATTTTTCAAAATATTTTTTATTTAATTGAATTAACTTAACTTACGCTAGACCAAATTTTACATTTTTTTAATGAGAAAGGTAACAAAACTATAAAAATGCATTTATACAGGTAAAAATAACGCACGCCCTCTTTAAAGTGTCAAAAGTAAAAAAAAAATCTCAAAACTGCTTTTTTAAATAATTTTGGAAAAAAACTTACAAGAAATAGCGTATGCCTATGCAAAACTGTTTGTAACATTTGAATTTGGTTCGCACGTGACGTCACATGCTCCGCGCAGAGTTTTCCTTTCATAACCAGCATACCGGTGTTTGTGTATCGTGTATAAGAGTGTAAGAAATACGTCGAGACATTTAACAGCAAAAACTATCTTTTAAACGGTCTTTTCATCTACCTGCAGGAGAGGATACAAATTCGACGAAAAGGTCCTGCGATGTTCCAATTATGGAGTAAGGGAACTTCCCCATGCCACAAAAGGTGCCGATAACGGGACTGAACTCGTTCTTTCCGTCGTAGATTTTTATGTAGTCGAACGGACAGTTTTGCTGGCCTGAAACGGGAGAAGAAATAACAATTTAGGAATGTAGGAAGCTGGAAAAGGACGACGTCTATAAAAATAAATGTCTAGTAAATTATGGATAAGAGATCTTTTTTGCTAGCTAGCTCTGAGCGTTATTTGATGCCGTGTTTGGTCGATTGAGATATTTTTGGTTTTATTTGGCAGTTTATATATCTTGTATTGTATTTCTATAAAAAATGTTGTTCTAAATAAATCCAGAGTATAGGTTTGTTAAGCAAATTCATTGAACTTAATGTTCAATATGAATTAATAGATGCTTTCGAGGTATCAAGAATTTCACCTTGATATTTTTAAGTATAAGTAAAAAATCTGGCAATGTGCGAAATGTCTAGATACTCTGCAAACAGACCAATTTAACAGACATTGTGCAAAATCACTACCATTTTGGGCAATCTGCGAATTAACTACGCTATTTAAGGCAATCTGCAAAATGTCTGATGCGATAGTCAATCCAAGGGTTAAAGGTTTTTAAATCTCACATTGACTAGGCAGTATGCGCAACACTAATTTACCACACAAATGTAAAATTGAAAAACTAGAAACAAAAATTAAATTAACAAACACTGGTTATCTATATAATGGTGGGGTTGGGTTGGGTTTGTACTGCATAATGTGTTCAAGTTCTCTAAAAATATTCCTTTCTTTCCGCTCGCCATTATTAATCTCTGAAAAAATAGCAAAATTCGACAGGAAGTAAAAGTATTGCGCACACTGCCTGGTCATTGTGAGGAGTAAAAACCTTTAATCCCCAGATTGACTATTGCATCAGACATTTTGCAGATTGCCTTAAATAGCGTAGTAAATTTGCAGATTGTCCAAAATGGAAGTAATTTTGCACATTTTGCAGAGTATCTAGACATTTATAACATTGTCGGATTTTTTACATTGCCGGTAACATATATATAGGGTTCTGTGCCTTGGCCGACCCTGATTTGCGAACTTTATTCTGATATTAAGGTACATGTTCGTAGACAATCCTTTCAATAACTAAGCTCGCACGTAAAGTAAAATGTTAAAATCATATTTAAAATTATAAAATTTACTAAATAATGTGAAAATCACATTTGGAAATGCCAAATTTACTAAATAATGTTAAAATCATATTTAAGAATGTAAAATTTACTAAAAAAGGTCAAACCTACTAAAAAATGTCAAAATCAGAATTAAAATGCCATATTTATAGTAAAAATGTCAAAATAATATTTAAAATTCTAAAATTTACTAAAAAATGACAAAATCACATTTAAGATTGTAAATTTCACGTAAAAATGTCAAAATCACATTTAAAAATATAAACATTACTAAAAAATGTCAAACCTACTTAAAAATGTCAAAATCAGATTAAAGAAGGCCAAATTTAATAAAAAATATCAAACCCACTAAAAAACGTCAAAATCACATTTAGAAATAAAAATTTCAAATTCATATTTAGGAATCTAAAATTTAATAAAAAAATGTTAAAATTACATTTAAGAATGTATAATTTACTCCATCTAAAATTTACTAAAAAATGCCAAAATTGCATTTAAGAATGTATAATTTACTACAAAATATCAAACCTACTTAAAAATGTCAAAATCAGGTTTAAGATATAAAGTAAAAATGATTTAAAAATCACGAAATAAATTTTATTTGGACAATTTTTAGTAAATGCCAAAATTACATTTAAGAATGTATAATTTACTACAAAATGTCAAACCTACTTAAAAATGTCAAAATAAGGTTTATGAATGTAAAGTTTACTTAAAAAGTTTAAATGATTTTGAAAATATCGAAATTAGATTTAAAAATACCAAATTTACTAAAAATTGTCAAAACAATATTTAAGAATTTAAAATTTGCTAAAAAATGCCAAAATTACATTTAAAAATGTAGAATTTACCAAAAAATGTCAAACCTACTAAAAAACGTCAAAATTATATTTAAGAATGTAAATTTTACGTAAAAATGTCAAAATCACATTTAGGAATGTACAATTTATAAACATTAATGTTAAATTATATTTAAGAATGTAAATTTTACGTAAAAATGTCAAAATCACATTTAGGAATGTACAATTTATAAACATTAATTTTACATTCCTAAAAATGATTTCGATAATTATCGAAATCATTTTTAGGAATGTAAAATTTAATAAAAAAAAACGTCAAACCTACTTAAAAATGTCAAACCAGATTTAAGAATGCCAATTTTACTAAAAAATGTCTAAATCACATTTAAGAATGTAAAATTTACTACAAAATGTCTAACTTACTTAAGAATGTAAATTAAACGTAGAAATGTCAAAATCACATTTATGAATGTAAAATTTACCAAAAATAACTAAAAAATGTAAAAATTACATTTAGGACTTTACTTTATTAATAATTATGGTTCTGGTTGCTCCATTCAAAAACAATTTTCATGAATAAAATAAAATTGTTTTTGAATGGAGCAACCAGAACCATAATTATTAATAAAGTAAAGTCCTAAATGTAATTTTTACATTTTTTAGTTATTTTTGGTAAATTTTACATATTATGTTAAGAAAGCAATTTGAATTTGAATTTTATTTATTGTATTTCTATACAAAATGTTGTCGTTCTAAATAAATCCTAAGTAAGGGTTTGTTAAGCAAATTCATTGAACTTTATGTTTAATAAGAGTTTATAGATGCTTTCGTGGTATCAAGAATTTTCACCTTGATCCTTTTAAGTACATATTAAGGCTTCCGTGCCTTGGGCCGACCCTGATTCCGAGCTTTATTCTATAAGGCACATGTTGGTAGACAATGCTATCAATAATTAAGCTCGCACGTAAAGTGTAATGTTCACAAGTAGAGCGTCTTGAACAATGTGAGAAAACAAAAGTGGGAATTTCGGGGGCCGCAAACTTTTTAAGGGCTTCGGCAATAAAAGGGAGAGCTAGTGTTATCGCTATGTTTACAACACCCTTTTGCTGGCAAAGGCACATGCCCGGGTAACCGAATACCTGGGGAAGGAAATCACTGTGGGATAAAGTAAAGTGTAAAAGTTAAATACGCTTCTATTTTTTAAATTTATTGTAGAAATATACTGTATTTTAATTTTTAATATATATCCACCGTTTTTAAGCCGCTGGAAAATATCCCCACTTTTTAAGGCCACAATTGTGATTTTGACATTTTTGTCAAAATCACATTTAAGGATGTAAAATTTCTCCCTGCTAACCATAAATATATTTCCTTGAACTAATGCGAACACGTTTAAGGCTCTACTAAAAAATTGACTTTATTGAATTATCTCCTCATGTCTTGTATCCACAGAAACCTACTTAAAAATAACAAAACCAGATTTAAGAATGCCATATTTACTTTATAGTCAAAAACACATTACAGAATGTAACATTTACTAAAAAATATGAAAATCATAATTAGAAATGCAAAATTTACCAAAAAATGTTAAAATCACCTTTAAGAATGTAAAATTTACTAAAAAATGTCAAAATCACATTTAGGAATGTAAAAATTATAAGAAAATGTCAAACCTACTAAAAATATCCAAATCTAAAATTAATAGAAAGTGTAAAAATTACATTTAAGAATGTAAGATTTACTAGAAAATGTCAAATCAACTTAAAAATGTCAAAATCACATTTAAGAATGCCAAATTTACTAAAAAATGCCGAATATAGTAAAAAATGTCAAAATCATATTTAAGAAAGTAAAATTATATTTAAAAATGTAAAATTTACTAAAAAATATCAAAATCATATTTAGAAATGCAAAATTTACTAAAACATGTCAAAATCACATTTATGAATGTACAATTTACTAAAAAATGTCAAACCTACTAAAAATATCCAAATCATACTTAAAAATCTATAATTAATATAAAATGTCAAAATTATATTTAAGAAAGAAAGATTTACTAAAAAATGTTAAACCATCTTAAAAATGTCAAAATCAGACTTAAGAATGCCAAATTTACTAAAAAATATCAAAATCATATTTAGAAATGCAAAATTTACTAAAACATGTCAAAATCACATTTAGGAATGTACACTTTTCTAAAAAATGTCAAACCTACTAAAAATATCCAAATCATATTTAAGAATCTATAATTAATAAAAAATGTCAAAATTATATTTAAAAAAGAAAGATTTAGGTACTAAAAAATAACAAACCTACTTAAAAATGTCAAAATCAGACTTAAGAATGACAAATTTACTAAAAAATGTCAAAATTATCACATTCAAGAACTACAAATTTACTAAAAAATGTCAAAATCATATTTAAGAATATAAATTTTAGAATCATAAATTTACTAAAAAATGTCAAACCTAATTAAAAATTTCAAAATCATATTTAAGAATATAAATTTTATGTAAAAATGTTAAAATGACTTTTAAGAATGAAACATTTACTAAAAAATGTCAAACCTACGTAAAAATGTAAAAATCCACAAATTTACTAAAAAATGTCAAAATCACATTTAAGAATGTAAAATTGACTAAAAAATATAAAACCTACTTAATAATGTCAAAATCATATTTAGGAATGACAAATTTACTAAAAAATGTCATATTTAAGATAAATAATAAACTTTTATTATAAGAGTTTGGACTGCTCTAATAATAATTATTGTTCTGACTGCTTCATTCAAAAACACTTTTTTTTTATTCATGATATAAAGCAGGCGCCTGTCATACACATATGTTAAGAAAGCAATTTGAATTTTAGTAAACTATTACTATTAAATTTGTTGTACCTTCTACTTTTGGATTTAAATCTTGCTGTTTCAAACAGCTTAAATATGTATTTGGCCGTCTTAGCGCGACTACTTATATATCGTAAAGTATTAAAAGATTACATGGAAACGTTTCATTAGGTTTGCAAATAAGTTTACACATTAATTATGCAAAAATTAGCTGTTTATTCTGGCTTATTACGCTGCCAACTCGCAGATTATTTGCTGGGGCTTTTGTTCTCAAGCTTCTGCACCGGCTTAATTAGGCGTCAGCAAGCAGGCTATGCCGAATATACGAGTGCACCACCTACTATGCTTTTGCTAAATAAATACTCAGATGCGGTGAAAAATTTAAGTTATGCTGGAATGAAATGCGGCTTCTATAGAAGCTGGAGTTTTTTATTATGTACATATACCTCTCATTTGGACAAAAGTCAATCTTTTTCATAAATAATAATAAATGTTAAACCCACTTAAAAATATCAATTTACAATTCGAAAATAAATCTCAACTTAAAATTTACTAAAAAGTGTTAAAATCACATTTAAAAATGTAAAATTTACCAAACAATTTCAAAATCACGTTTAAGAACCTACAATTTACTCAAAATATTTCAAACGTACTTAAAATGTCAAAATTAGATAAAGGAATGACAAAATAACCAAAAAATGTCGAAATCACATTTAAGAACGTAAGATTTACAAAATGTGAAGATAAAGTTTAAAAATGCCTAAGCTACTAAACGATATCAAAATAACGTTTAAAAATGTAAAATTTACTAAATAATGTCAAGAATGTTAAGGAATGCCAAATTTACTAAAAAATGTTAACATCACATTTAAGAATGTACTATTTACTTAAACATATCAACATTACGTTTAGGAATGACAAATTAGATCAAAAATGTCAAAATCACATTTAAGACGTAAAATGTCAAGATTAAATTTCAGAATGCCAAATTGCTAAATTAGATAAATGATTGCCAAAATAACCAAAAAATGTTTAAATCACATTTAAGAACGTAAGATTTACAAAAAGGTCAAGATTACGTTTAAGAATGCGAAAGATATTAAACAATTTCAAAATCACGTTTAAGAATGTAAAATTTACTAAGTAATGTCAAGATTACGTTAATGAATGCCAAATTGACCAAATAATGTTAAAATCACGTTTGAGAATATCAAAGTCAAAAATGTAAAATTTACCAAAAAATGTCAAAATCACATTTAGAAACGTAAAATTTACTCAAAATATGTCAAACCTACTTAAAATGTCAAAATTAGATACCTAAAGGTATGCCAAATTTACCAAAAAAATGTCAAAATAACATTTAAAAATGTAAAATTTACCCAACAATGTCAAAATCACATTTAAGAACGTAAAGTTTACTCAGAAAAGGTCAAACGTATTTAAAAGATAAAAATTAGATAAAGGAATAACAATGACAAAATAACCAAAAAATGTCAAAATCGCAATTAAGAACTTAAGATTTACAAAATGTCAGGATTACGTTTAAGAATGACAAAGTTACTAAACGATGTCAAAATCACGTTTAAGAATGTAAAATTTACTAAATAATGTTAAGATTACGTTAAGGAATGCCAAATTAAGTAAAAAATACATACAGTATAGTAAATTTAAAAGTAAACTACGTACACGTCATCAATCAGCTGATCGGGCACGGTTGTCAATGTGATGCTAAAATCCTTGCATCAAGGGAAAGTGGTAGTGCAACTACAGGTTGATAGATGGCGTTTACATGAATAATACCAAAATGTCAAAAGTCTGAGTTTTTATAACCTATATGATGCACCGCCAAAAGTATGTTTTTAGCCATTTTCTGATATAAAACCTAAAAATTTTGCCATCTAAAGTCAGTCTCTGGTATATATATTATTATTTCATGTATCCAACATATATTTTGTTAAATATTCTAATATATAATTAATAATAATCCTATTTACCTCTCTAACAGCTGTTAAAGGTAACAAAGGTCCATTATTATCCCGTTCTGCCTCAAAATAGCGTATTAAGGATGACACCAACTCTTGCCTCCGACTATTTAAATGCTTCGGCATTTTAAATATAGGAAACACAAAAAAACGATATATAACAAACACAAAAACGGCAATGAAAACTTAAACGATATAAAATAACACAAACAACAAACAAAATAAACGAAATAATACACGAATTAAACGAAATATTCAAAAACACAACTGACAGCTTCGAAATTCTAAAACGTCAAATTCTTTTATATGTGTCATTTAAATATGAAAAATTTGAATGTAAACATGACAACATCACAATTGTTGCCAACTTAATTTGGTTAAAATGCATTCAAATATTCAATTACAGACTTCGATTTAGTCATTTAGTGTTGGTACCAATGCGTAAAATTTTTGTTTTATTGATGACGTGTACGTAGTTTACTTTTAAATTTACTATACATTTAAGAATGTAAAATTTACTAAAAAAATGTCAAGATTGCGTTTAAAAATAATAAATTTACTAAAAAAATGTCAAGATTGCGTTTAAAAATAATAAATTTCCTAAAAAAATGTCAATATTACGTTTAGGAATGACAAATTAAGAAAAAAACGTCAAAATCACATATAGTCTTTGACGATTACCTGATGATATAGGTCTCATTGGACAGGTCATGATATTCTCGCATCTCTGCCCATCAATGTTAAATTCTTCATTTTCTATATAGAGTTTTATAAATGGCAACCTTGTGTTGAGGTAGTATCTACAGTGCAGGTTTCTTGGGTAAACTCCTGGATACGCTGGAGATTGCACGTAGCAAGTTTGTAGACGACAATCCCTGAATATTCTTTCACAGTACGATCTATAACAAAACAAATAATCATAATTAATAGAAAAAGAAGGCAACTTTTTTGCCTTCCTACCCTTGCACCACTTCCCCTCTCCTATTCGGATAAAGCTCTGGGTGCTGTCCGTATCTCAGATAAACCACCAGTTGTTGTTCTGCCCTGGTGTCAAAGCTGAAGTACGTCTGGTCGGTGAAATTTTCGCAGTGAAAAACCACCTTTACAAACGACGTCTCAGACATAAAAGTCTGCGGTTGCTCGCTTTCCCCGCAAAACATGCCTGGCTCCTTGCGGTTACTCACGTCTGTTTTTGCATTACCGTCCACTATCTGAAACAAAACAAATGCTGTTAGTATGTTTTTGTTTGATTTAGATACCAAAGGTCAAACATCAAAGCTTAAATGTCAAGCTCAATTCTAAAGACACAATTCCGCGCGCGACTGTAGCAAATACTTTTAAGCCTGATTTATAGATTGTCTTCCTTCTTTCCTCCCTTCCTTCAGTAAAAGATGAACAATACGAAAACCGTAGTGTCGTTTATAGATTCCCGTACGGGATTGTATTGTTCATCTTCTACAGGAGGAAGGAAGGAAGGCAATCTATAAATCAGGCTTTAAACTTAAATCAGTTTACAGTGATTTGAACCAAAGAACTTAAAAAGCAAAACTAATAAGAATAAATGAATTAATTTATGATATTGGAATAAATATTTTTCAACCGGAATAAATTGAAGTAAAAATGGGCATTTAATAAGGTAAAAGTCAAACAAACGAGCATTCAAAGCTCGTTTCCAATTCTTAAGAATATTTCAGTTCATACTTAAAATTCTCGAAAACACTTTTAACTTTTAAGTAGTTTTCGTCCTTCTTGAAATTACTAATATTAAACCTTTTGAGGAAATAATTCTTAAGATGTTCTTTGAACTCTAACAATTAATAATTCTGCTTTCTGGTGATTGTGTAAAAAATATATAAGAATAAAAACACGGTAACCCCCAAATTTATAAAACTATAAAAAATAAAACTAGGTCTAAAGTTGGATTTTGTGTACAAACAATCACTTTTATTTATTATTTCATACAATAATTATTTTAAAACCACTTAAGAATGCCAAATTCCCTAAAAAAGTTCAAAAACCTATAAATTTAAGAATGTAAAGTATACTATAAAATGTCAAGATAAAATGTTAAAATCGCATTTAAGAATGCAAAATTTATTAAAAAATATAAAAATCACATTAAAGAACGTAAGATTTTCCAAAAAATGTCAAAAAAAAATTAAGAACGTACAATTTACGCATAAAATGTCAAAATTAGATTAAGGAATGCCAAAGTTACTAAACAATGCCAAAATCACGTTTAAGAATGTAAAATCTACCAAACAATGTTAAAATCACATTTAAGAACGTAAAATTTACTCAGAAAAGGTCAAACCTCCTTAAAATGTCAAAATTAGATAAAGAAATGCCAAATTTGACAAAAAATGTCAAAATCACATATAAGAACGTAGAAAATGTCAAAATTACTTTTAAGAATGCCAAAGTTACTAAACGATGTCAAAATCACGTTTAAGAATGTAAAATTTTCTAAATAATGTCAAGATTACGTTAAGGAATGTAAAATTTACTAAAAAATTACAAGATTAAACGTAATCTTGTAATTTTTTATGACAAATTTACCAAAAAATGTTAAAATCACATTTGGAAAAGCCAAATTTACTTAAATATGTCACAATCACATTTAAGAACGTAAGAATTATAAAATGTGAAAAGTACGTTTAAAAAAGCCAAAGTTACTAAACGATGTCAAAATCACGTTTAAGAATGTAAAATTTACTTAAAAATTTCAAGATTAGGTACGTTAAGGAATGTTAAATTTACGAAAAAATGTTTTAAATCACATTAAAGAATGTAAAATTTACTAAAAAATGTCAAAATCAGATTTAAGAATGCTAAAGTTACTAAACGATGTTAAAATCACATTTAAGAATGTAGAATTTACTAAAAAATGTCAATATTACGTTTAGGAATGACAAATTAACTAAAAAAATGTCAAAATCACATTTAAAAACATAAGGAAAGTAAAATGTCAAGATTACATTTTAGAATGCCAAATTTACTAAAACATTTCAAAATCACAAAAAAAATTTCAAAATCAAACGTACAATTTACTAAAAAATGTCAAGATTACGTTTAAGACTGTCAAATTAAAAAAAATGTCAAAATCACAATGACAAATTTACTAAAAAAATATCAAATTTACATTTAAGAACATAAAATTTATTAAAATATAGAGATAAAATTTCAGAATGACAAATTAACTAAAACACTGTTAAAATCACGTTTCGCTCTTAAAAATACATAAAGGCGTATTTTTTTGGGCTAAGCAAAATATGCTAACCAATATTAGTTAATATTGTTTGCTTAGCAACAAAAAGACTGCGTATTTTTAACGGCGATTTAAGAATGACAAATTTAGTAATAAATGTCAAAATCACTTTAAAAAATGTTAAAATTACGTTTAAGAATGCTAAATTCACTAAAAATGTCAAATCCAATAAAAATGTTAAAATCACATTAAAGAATAACAAATAAATTAAAGTATGCATAATAACATTTAATACTATACAAAATGTCAAACCTACATAAGAATGTCAAAATCACATTTAAGAATGCGAGAAGAAGGACGTCATATTTTGCAAAATACGAATTATGGCATTTTCAAAGAAAAAACCCTAATTAACATAATGGGTCTCTACCTTAAATTTAAAATTAACTAACCGCAATTTATTTCCGTTGTAGAACAGTTTTCGGGAGTTTTGCACTACCCTGTAGTCAACTCGAAATGACACAGTGTTTATCCGAGTTCCTAACAAGGGTTTGAGTGTGATTTATACTTACACGAGACAGGCTTTGAATACAAACTATGCTAGAAATTAGCAACTTTACTCATCTAACACAGTATATGCGTGACATACTGACAAAAACTTCCAACCAGACATGTGTAGACTAAGTTATTTCATTCTTAATCGAATTTTCTTCACGGTACAACAAAAACATATTTGAAATCAGTCTGGAGTAAATAAAAAAGTTTCTGTTTTGGCATAAATAAAATGTTAGATTTTGTGACCGATTGAAAAAAAGGAGGCTTTTTTCTCCACATTAGTTTCCTTTTATTTAAATGAATTTTGTAGACTTCCACTCAACACATTCATGTGAGTGAATAATAAGAGAAGTACTTAAACCAACCCTTTTACCGCAAGTTTAAGCTTTTGCTTTTAATTCGGCTCCGGTTTCTCCATAATGAATTATTTTAATTCAATTCTACTCGCACCACCAAATCAAATCAAATGAAAAACATTTTTTATCTATATATATAAAGTCATTCATTAACGCCCAATTGGTGTGCTGCATGGTTTTATTTTTGCCTGAATGCCTTTCATTTAAAACGCGTTCTATGAGCACAGAAATCAAACCTGTAAATAAAAATTAATCGGTTCATTCTGCTAAAGTATATATACACCATAATTCTAATATTTTTAATAACGTAAAAAGAGTTGTAGCTCAACAAAAAGGGAAGATTTTTTATATTTCATTTCATATAAAAGATTCTCCTTAAACTTTTTTTTATCAAAATCTAAAACCATTTACACCGATTGAAAGTTTTTATATGGAAGGACTCCATAAGATATACTTACAAAATAAACCCCCATAAATTCGGTTGATTTAGTGCCGAATACGTTGAAAATAGCAGAAAAACAAACGTTCACCATAAACAAACAGTTGTTGACCCATTCTGTGGAACCATAAATAAAACATTTCAGGACCCGAACCGTTGAAAACTCAAATATACTCACAGTGATTCACATTTGAAAACTAAACAGAATGTGGAGAAGTTGGAAATACGATTTTTTCAAGAAAAGGGAAACACAGAAATCACTGGATACTAGGGTTCGAAGAGAAAATATAATCCCGGGATTATGATATCGATATTTAACAATCCCGGGAATACCGGGATTTCGAGATTGATAATAAAAACTAAAAGAAAACATACAAAGCATAATTATTAATTTTATTAATAAAATAAAATTTAAACCAAAAAATATTCCTAGGTGTTCAGCGGCTAAACCAATACCGCAGAAAAATGAGTTCATTAATGGGATTATCCCCAACTCGGGATCTAATTTTTGTACATAGGGTTTCTGATGCCAAAAACGCCCTTTCCAAATCCACACTAGTGGGGAGATCATATTTTAGCTTGAGGAATGCATCCCTGCTTCCCCCATTTTCAAAAAGCGATATTTCTTTTTTTAGAGTTGATATTACCAAATCGGTTTAAGGGTGCATTTTTATTGGGTTCATTGCGTTTTTTGTCAATGATTTGTTAGTTTCAATTTGAGGCTGGAGCAGTAGCATGGCTGAAAAAAATTTTTATCCTCGTCATCGTCTTCTTGAAAAGAAAGATTTGTTTTTTTTTGTAAACGTTTTTCAAGCATTTCTCTAATAATTTTTTGTTTAGAATATCGAACAGAGCATCGTATTCTTTATCATTGGGATTGTGCAAATAGCGGATAATACTTGAGCAATAAGTCCTGCGCTGAGCAATCCTTACCCTTACCCTTAGGGCTTCATATAGTTGGCACTTAGGGAAGTGTTAACTTCTTGAACTTTTTTCAACATAAATATAAATACCAAAAATACCGGGATCATGATTTGTGATCTCGGTATTTTAGGTATTGAAAAACAGACGAGATCCCGGTATTTCGGGATTGCGAACCCTACTGGATATCGGCCATTCCAAGCCCATGGACAGGACACATCAGAAACATGTCTAAATATATTCTTGTTTTCCTTAAGTTTACTTATTTTTTCTACGAGTATTTATGAGAAGTATTAGCCAAATTTGGCTAATACTTCTCATAAATACTCGTAGAAAAAATAAGTAAACTTAAGGAAGTAACAAGAATATATTTAGACATGTTTCTGATGTGTCCTGTCCATGGGCTTGGAATGGCCGATATGCAACAAAATTTAAGGTGGCAATGCTGAACTAAATGTAATTTTTTTGTTTTTAAATAATATTTTTTATTAATGAGATATCACTGTGCGGTGAAAATTGAAAAACGCAAACAACGGAGGACTTTTTTAAAAATTGATTTTATTGTTTTACTGACATTTTATTTTCCATGGCAATACGACGAGAGGTCATCAAATTTATGTACTGTCGTCCGCTGTGCGGTTTTACAATTTTTAATTTAAAAATTTCTATATGAATACACGGATGAGTACTGGAATGTCATGTCATTTATTATTTAGATTTTATTGAAATCAT